CAAATCTGCTGAAATGAACTTTTTTTTTTCAATTTTCCACAACAAAAATTTGAAAAATTTATAAATGATAATTTTATCTCTGTTTTCATGAAAGACATGATTTTCCCTAACCCAGTTTTCATAATCGAGTACTATTTGGTTGTACATCATTCTGCTTGAATCTGATAAGATATAAAACAGCGCTGCTGTCATGTCTCTGCTCATTACCGCTTCGGACGGCGTGGCACTTGGTCCTGCAGCAATCAGGAGCAAGTTAGCGGATTAAGGTGGACCATGGCGTTACCACCTACCACAATGAGGGAATGAGGAACTTGGAAAATTTTACATGCAAAACACCGAAACATTGAAATAATTGAAAAATTTAAGATAAAGTAAAATAGTCAAAAATGCATGACATACATCAATTTTGCGTGGTTCTACGTCATACTGCGGTCGTGTATAGGACACAACCCTTTAATTTTTTTCTGTAGTGTACTAATACTCGACTATTCCACAATATTTACATTTGACATTCATCGGCGTATCACTATGCTGGCTGTCAAAATGTCTTATTTTGAACATGATTTTAAACCAAAATATTGTATTACTGTATATGTGGCATTTACAATTTGTTACTGAACGGAGATGAACTAGCCTACGCTTAAAAATCTCCTAAATAAAGTAAGAAAAAAAAAATGTTACCGAAAACATCATTAAAACGTTTCGGAACAGCATCGAAACTATTTCCTAAGGTGGTTTTTGTAGTTATTATATATATTTTTTTCCTTTGGTTTGATTTTTCCGTCGATCTTGTTTTCCGTGCTGAGCACCAATGCTACCAACGTGCCAGGAAGGCAGCTCCCACACCTGGACCCTACCTATCGACCCATCAACTCATGAACCGGGGACCAACGGCTTTACTTCCCATCCGAAGGAAGGCGTGATCAGAGATGTTATGCCTCAGAACATCCCGGCGGCGCCGACTGGGATTGAACCCAGGCCTGCTGGGGTGAGAGGCAATCACGCTTACCACTACACCACCGGCGCCGTTTTGAGTCAACTAAGTTGAACAACATCGATCGGCTTCAGGTCGATGATGTCCATTTGTCAACTTGTCGCTCCCAACTTAGTTTGCTCAATTTAGATTAGTTTCACTTCTGAGCGATATGAGTGAATACTACTCAAATTTAGATAGTTTAGCAATAGCGTGTAAGGGAAGCGTAAATGAGAAAGTGATATCGCAGTAAATTTTCACTATCCTACGAGTTTTCTCTCAGTTGGGAGTTGTTGAACCTCTTAGTGATAGTTCGAAAATAAAATTTTAACATTCCCATTCTTAGAATTGATCCAAATTGCAAATTTTTTTGAATTTTTGACAAGCATATTCCAAGTAGCATTTCTTGTTTTATTGCACTCTATTAGTGGTTTTTGAGATCAATTTTATTAAATCGTCAATACAATTCTTAGCTCCAGCACAACCGTTTGATAACCGCTATAAGATCGTCTTCCAGCTTAGTGGACCACTCTTGATAAGGTTTATAAAGCATGTTTGAGAATCACAATAAAGCTGTCTACAAAAGGTTCTCATAGCATCTTTAAGAGTAATATTGTATCCAAGCAGTTTTATTACGCTTTGGTGAAAATCAGTTATAAATACAATTTAATTTTTATTGCATCAAAGCAACCGCCATAAATTAGCTTTTTGTTGTTCTGTTCTGCTGAAACTTTTTTCCCCATATGGTAATCTTTAGTTGTAAAAATAGGTTCGAGTGTTGGTGTCAAGATCACCATGCCATCACCATAGTGAAAATCTTAATGAAAATATATGACATTTTAGAAGTTCCAAATCATATGCGCTTGAAATTTTATCGTGTATATTGGGATAATATGAGCGTTAAATAAATGCACCTCAAAAATAATTCAAGTTAACAAGAAAGATTGTCTTAGAAATCAAATTAATTTGATGGAATCATCTTAATTTTACAGAGAATAGATCTCAATAAACAAATTCATACCAATGCACACTGGAAATCAGTTCGGATCTCTTATTTAGCCATTATTGTATTGAAATTTCTTGGATTTTATTCCAAGGCTAATGGGATTTTCAAAATGACAATATGATGACAGAGGACAGCAGGCGAGAAAACACCAAGTGCAATTTCTTAAAATGTCTAATGCTTAATTTTTTTTTTCTTCATTAGAGAGATTTTTTCTAATGCTTACATTGGATGGAAGCAGAACAGAAAAGCATTATGCATGATTTTATTTCGAGCACTATTTTCTTTTTACAAGAGCAATTCTTTTTTTTCATTTGAGGGTAAACGTATATTCCTATTCTACGGGTGCAACCAATGAATTTTACAAACATTTGGAAAAGTTTTGAATGGTACATTAAACTTTATGAAATGTTATGCGTGATTTCAACTTTTTTTGTCCTAGAACTGTCACCATTCCATGTATTTCGACCAAGATTCGACAGTGTCACCCCATGAAAAAAAGGAAAGAAAAGGAAAGAAAATTTTCAATGCTGATTGTTGAATTGTTGTGACCATCCACGACTGTGAATCTGATAAGAGATGCAAGTTGGCATAGGTATCATTCTCCGACTCCAGATAATTATATATTTCCTCTTCATGAGTCATTTTTGGTGTAGTAATGTGTCCATTCGAATTGAAGATGGTTCAGAATGGTGAGGAGGCACACTCTTTACAGCTACCTTTGTGACATCCGCAGAAAATGCAGCGGCATTTTTTTTCTTGGTTGGAGTTATTCACGGAGGTTTGCGGCTGACTGTAGCAAATAAACGGGCTCATGCTAAAAATTTTGTTGATTTTCTTTGCGCTCCGCTTGGAAGTACCGGAAAGTTTTGATTATTTCTATGTTGTAAAAATGAACCGCCAAGTGTAAATGTCTGACAAGTTGCAACTGAACGCTTATAATTGTTTTTAAACAACTGTTTTATGGCCAACAAGTTATATTGCGCTTACTTATATAGCAATGGGCAATTTATATTGCTTTTTTTATACTTCAAGGCAATCATAAAACCTTTCATAAGTGAAAAAAGCATAAGCAGCAGTTGGTTTTTAATTAGCTTTATAGGGGTTTTGTAGATAGCTATGAGAATGTCCCATGACTTGCATTGTATATGACCGTCATAAAGCTGTAGGTAGTGGTTGCAGCTGTAATAAAACCTTTATAAATTTTGAATATAGCCAAGCAGCTCTAGATTTGTTACTTGGGATGAATAGTTTCGTTCCGTTTTTCATATATTTTTATATTCCAATTTTAAAGGTGTCCCACAAATGCAGATCATTACCAATTTCATTCATATTTGGCATAGTTTTTAGGAACCTCAAAATTGATTGACTCACCTTAATATTTTTTCCCTTGATTTGTTTTCCGTCGATCTTGTTTTCCATGCTGATAATCAATGCTACCAACGCCAGGAAGGCAGCTCCCACACTTGGACCCTACCTATCGACCCATCAACTCATGAACCGGGGACTAACGGCTTAACTTCCATTCCGAAGGAAGGCGTGATCAGAGATGTTATGCCTCAGAATATCCCGGCGGTGCCGACTGGGATTGAACCCAGGCCTGCTGGGGTGAGAGGCAATCACGCTTACCACTACACCACCGGCGCCGCTTACTCACCTTAATATGCATAATAGAATAACTTAGCTGCATTTGGTTAAATAAAATAATTTGCTTGATTCAAATACACGTATGTAAAATATATCTGACTATAATGAATGATTAAAGCCATTTTGCGCTCAATTGCGTATTTTTTTTTAGAAAATTCAGTCAGAAAATCATGTATTTTTATTCAAATTTTATGTGACATAATTTTTTCAGTACTCTAAAGATAATAATATCGATATGAAAAAGTTTTAATTGATTAGTTCCGATCGAGGAAAAATGATAAAAGTTTTTTCCTGAACGAATGTTTAAAATATAATACTAAAAACGTGAATTTCAGACACATTTAATAAATAAAACTTCGTATATCTCAGATCTTTAAAGATATACAGCTTATTTGTGTTTAGCAACTTATCATAAAACTTTACGTTTTCTAAAACTTTGCCCAAGACAGGAAACCTCTATCTTGCGAAATAAAAAAGGTTGTATCGCAGTGCCATTTTTCCAGCCAAAACATGAGCTATTTTTATCCACCAAATTGTAGTCCTAACGTATCCAAAAAACTTCACTCAAGACGTCAACTTAATTGTATGTAATCCCAGAGCATTATGAATTTTACCTGCTAGATTTAATTCCTGGTTCACTGTTGAGTGGTAGAAATCGTCATGAAATGGTTAATTGTGAACAATTTATAAATTAATTCAACAATGTTCCATACTGAAGAAACAAATAATCTTGTTTGATATTCGCCATTTTTTTTATGGTATCAGATTTCGACGTTTCAGATGATTACAGTTCAAACTTTGACCGATTTGTACCCCTAAATCATATCCGATTGAGCCCAAATTTTGCATAGGGTCTTTTAAGAACCAAAAAACATTTTGTGTATGGTCCGTTTGTAAAATTCAATGGCCTCTTTTTTCCCATACACTTGGCACATATTGGCACCCCGTACCAGATTATAAACCACATTTTATGGATTTGTTTTTGCAATTCTGTGCAAAACATACCGCCATGCAGTTAATGATATTACACTAAACTCGGATCTGAACCCGTCGCCATTTAGTTTTTCTCCGTGGGATTGCCTCAGGAAAGGTGTCCTGACGAAGTCTCTCTTTAAATTTTCCGGTTCTCCCAGTGGAGAATACCGCACTGTCGCAGCCAAGCGTTTGATCCTATGAGAAATATGACAGTAACGATATTGTTATCCCATCCGGAGGGACCGCAACTGAGTAAAATGACATTGCGAGAAACCATTCATGCTGTCGCCACCCACGCCCTACCGCTTACACTTGGCTTGGTGAAGGTGAGAGGATGAATTGTTTTTGTTTGTTTAGTGCACCGTCATCAGCCGGTCGCCGCTCGGTTCGGTTGGTACTCACCTGGTATGCTAAGACATTCGCTAAACTGGCGATGACGGGCTCGGTGGCAAACGAAAGGGTCTCCGAACTTTCTTCAACGGTGTGCATTATCTGAAGGATCTGGACGGCGTCGTTGCGTTGGATGAGGGCAAGCAAAAAACGTGGAAGACGAAAAGAATAACTAAGTCAGAAGAGGCGAAGTGAAATTGAACGGAAAACGAGACGAGATTAGAGTAAAATTGATTTCAGTTTAGTGGAATGAGTTGCGAGGGTAGTGATGGAGCTTTTGCAACACATATGTATAGCAATACAGATTGTGGTAACATTTTCATTGTCGGGAAAGGACGGAGTACGGGTATGACGAGGGATTATTTTCCCATGGGAGAATGATGCTGAGGTAAAGCAAAGTGCTGTCTCGGCGTATCTGTTTTCTGGAGTTTCGTATTTCAAAGTTTGTTTGGTAATCAGCTTTGTGTTGATAAGTTGTTTATTGAATTGAGATGTGTGGAGAAAAAAGGCATACATAGGAAAATTTGATTAAAGTAATATGTATAACATGTGAACTGGTGCTTGGGTACCGATATAATTCTATCTCGTTGATGGCTAATTAAGCATTGAGAAAATAATTCTTCTTACTTTCGGATGTCGAAACCGCTCCAGCTGTTTGACAGACGCTCGCAGGATCTCCGTGACTAGATCTTTCCGTTTGGGTTTGTGCAGCTTCTCTGCTGTGCGTTTCTCGAAAACGAAAATGGAGCATTCCTGGAAATGTAAAAGAAAAAAAAAAACATTATGAACACATGTCCGTTTCCATTAAAAAAAAGAAGTTAATTAGAACGATAATTAAAATTCAACTTAACGGCACATAAATAATTCACAATTTGATGGTACTGGTTTTTTTTCTTCTTCTATTTTTATCAAGCTGTAAATGAAGCATTTACTTTAACTAGGACTGAAGGAACCTCATAAATCAATCGCTAAGGATAATGGTTTGTAGTATCAACCGAGGAAAATAATACATAGAGTATAATTAATTGACCGATGCAACAAGCTGTATTTTATTAACGATGTTGAACACAGTCACGGTGTCTCGGTATTGCTCAAATTACTCACTAAACGAAATCTTGGGTGATGCACTTTCATGTTAAGCTAGTATCAACATGACTTACCTTTCCATACATTTTTAAGGGGTTCTATATACGAGAACATTAAAATTGATTTCCCTTCCATAGCACATTTAGATACTAGCCTCCACTTAAAGGGGCAAATCAAAGATTTCATTTGTCGGGTGTTTCAGTGACACCGAGAGTCATCACAGAAACTTTTTTCTCCTTTTTATTTTCGTATGTGGGTTAGAAATGCTAGGTTTTGTTCATTTGTACGTTCCTATAATTAATTTAATAAAGTAAATTAATATTACCAAAGAGAAGCTTGAAATCTGTGCTATTTAATTGACGATGCAAGTCATTTTGCCAAGCAATAAGTAATTATTTTCACACAGTCACATTATGGCAACGATGCAGTGTGCATATGTAGCCTATGGTGCAATGTGAGTAGGTACAATTCCCATCGAACCCTTTCATCATCATCGTCATCTACCTTCATGTCATCGTCAAGTGAAGTATGAATGAACCACTGTTTGTAGAATAGGAATAGGAATACCTATAAATTGCATCATTTGCGTTCGAACTTCGTCATGCCGCATTGCACATTGGATTTGCCTCGTATTTCCCACCTGATGGCCACTTTTCCACGGTGTAAACCAGAATCGACTTGCTGCTGTTGCCACTTGTTTGCCTGGTTGAGCGAACGGTTAAAACGTAGTTATTTTGCTAAACGCTTGTGTAGGTACTCATTTTGCAATGATTGTACATCGGCAGATATATTGAAATGAGACACACTGTTATTTTCTCGATTTCCAAAAAGGGCAACAAATACCGATGCGATAGTGTCCGAATGAAATCGTTTGCATTACAAGCAATTTCATCATGATGAATTCGAAAATTGCATGAGGACTTAGAATTACGAGTAGAAATATCCACAATGTTGATATTGTACGATTGATTGAAGGCTAGAACTAGATAAAAACAAATGTTCATATTGTTTATCTTTAGGAGTGGGATGATTATATAAATACAATTTTAGTTCAAATCCTCTACTTATTTTGCTATTCGATCCTAGTCTTAGGGTCTTATTTTAACTAAAATAGCTTCACAGCAATATGATTTATTTTTTACACGAATTTTATCGCAATTTTCTTCAAGTATGAAGAAAATTTGTTATAGAAAGAATTCGAATTACGGATTATTACGGATTAATTACGAATCTTTTAAAATGTTTCCTGACGGTGGCTACTACCATGTTCAACCGCTGGTTAGTATGCGGTCACATAACATATGTGGAAATTCGAATTAGATGCCTTACGAAAAGTGAAGTAATTTCATTACACTTACTATGTTATAAGTGGCATAACTGCACATCGAAATGTCAAAACAGAAAATAAGAGCTGTAAAATTGAATTCATTGAATTGAAATTTGATTAAACGATTGAAAATGAGATTGAGATATTGGTTATCTACGTGTAACAATAGTGTCTCTCAATCTCAATAGTGTCCATTGTCATTTTATAATGTTTGAAAAAAAAAATAGATTTCTCCCATAAACACACAGCTCATAACTTAATGCTAGGCTAGAGAATCTATTATTCCTGTGTATTCATGCTATTGCAGCTCGTCGTCCATCTCATGGTTAAGAAAAATCATGACATACTGAAATCCAAATATTATCGTATGCTGTAAATTATGCCATTTGCGCATGGTATGAGGCTTGACGAAGTTATCTCTAACGGATTATTTTGTATGGGTAGCTCATCTAAGTCATTATGACGACTTTTTAGTAATTATTGTACACACTACGAAAAAGTCATGTAAATTTCCGTGACCTGAAACCGACACATGCAAGCAGTCCAAATGACATAAAAATCAGTTAAAATAAACGAGAAAATCAATTCAATCAAGCGTACTTTCCGTCGAGTTGCGCATGTTTAGGTTTGGGAATATTTAATTTTACATGACATGTTTGTTTACGCTCCATAATTTACGTCAAAGATGGATTACGTCTCGTGTAAAAATAGTTATTTTTAAGTGTGTAGCACAGCAAAAACTAGTTTTGTTCGCTACGATGGTGATAATGGATTTTTAATATTTTATTTAATAGATTAGATAAGTAGATTAGAGTAGATTTAAAAAAAAGTTGTCTACAAAGGTTTGAGCCTCGCGCGCGTATTAAGGATATAGAGGACTGAATTTAAAATTTGATAAAAAAAAAATGCAATTTTGAAGCTACTTTGGAAAATGGCTTGTGTTAGTTGTAAGTTTTCTGGAAAATGTCGGGGGCTCGTGAGCATTTCTGACATTGCTGAAAACTATGATAGTATCAGATTGCGGGGTTGCTAGTGTAATATGATGCTTTGTTGATTGTTCATTAACTCTTGATCGCTTGTAATACTTATGAATATTTTAGGTGGAGAAAAAGGTGAACTAAGAGGTGGATGCCTGAGCATTTCCACATTTATATCACTGTGAAGAAACTGAAAAGTGTTTTGGGAATTTTTATCTGTTACTGTAACCAGTTCGATTTTCTTTGCTAACCTGGTTAAAAAGTCATATTTAACTATCTTAAAGATTAATCGTCCAACTCAAACCTTTGTAGGGGTAAGAGGTGGGATCATCATCATCTCTTGTATGAGGGGTGCTGTAATTTTTTATTTATAAATTATTGTTTTTACGAGATGTTATGAATTTAACAAAAATATATCACGTGAAAATAATCAAAATGGCCTACATTTTTGATTTTCAGTTCCAATGGAAATGTATGTCTGCCAATATTTGACCATTTAACAATTATTCGTATCGTATCATGGTGTGTACCCAAGCATAGGTCAGAATCTTCTCTCTGTTTGCCTAAAATAAAGTAGAGGTATGATAACATTATATCATTAAACAAAAATTAAAAAAAAAAAACTTTATCACGTTATCACAGAAAACAAAAGTACTCTTGGATATAAGAAAAAAGCTCAACATCTCTTGAAAAAATCAATTGAAGTTTCGGAACATACATCCCATGGGAACATATCAAGCCAATAAAATCAGTATCTTACCACCACCATACAGCACCATACACATGGATTAATTGACACTTTCTCACTTATTTATTTCGCACCTGATTACAGTCCTGCGTTAAAAAAAAATGTACGCAGTAATATTTTCGCATTGGCCCTAAAATATAAATATTGAGTTTCTTAAAGTTTTCAAGAGCTCAAATTCATTAGTGTAGCTTGCCAGCAGGGTTGATTTTCCGAATTATGTAAACGTTAAATGTTATAATGATAATTAGTACTTGTAAGTTACAAGAATAGATCGTGAAGTATGTGTTTGGCATATAAAATCTGTCAATATTGCTTTCAGTGCGTCATAATTAGCGATTTGACGATTCGTGAGCGCTTACTCTGAGTGAACGCTAGTGAATCTGATGATCGCTGATTGTGACGCTCTGAAAGCGAAATTGGCAGGTTTTATGATTCAAACACATACTTTACACCCTCTTCTTGTTACTTATAAGTTCAACATTGTTTTATAGCAAGTGAGTGTGGAAGCAACCCTGCTTGCCAGTACTGTTCTAAAGCTGCTATTGCTTTTGAATTAGTATATTTAAATTTTTTGTCCTGTACTAAAATATTACCGTGCAATTTTGACTCCTGTGTAATGTAGTTCAATATAATTCAAGGATCCAAATTTGCTGCTTTATTGAAAAAAAAAAATAATTTAAAACATTGCATTTAGAATCATAAAATATAAAATGAGCGATTATAGTTAGATGAGTAACTTATTTAAATTTCATTCTTTGTTTTCATAGTAAAATTTTTAACATTAACTAGAAGTTTGTACACCTAGACTGCAGAATTCCCTAAAGTCAAAATTCACTAGCCCTGTGGAAGTCTGCAAGAGATGGAAGAAATATGGATGATCCTCGAGTGTTTATGTCAAATCTTTCTTCAAAAGTTAAAAATGAAAAGCAAACAAAACAATATTCTTTAAGGGACTAGTATAATCTTAGATTTAGTTCCTGTTATATTTTTGACTATTTCAAGGTTTTAGAAGGTTTGAAGATGCCCTTTACTATTTCCTTTCTGCTTCAGAAATCAGTCTTCAATAAGCAGGGGCCTTCCCAAGAGATGAACTAGCCTACGGCAAAAATCTCTATAATAAAGATTTAAAAAAGAAGCCTTCCATTCATTTTGGCTAAAAATAATTTATTAAGCTTTGGAATAATAAGATATTATGATGCTATTTTGTATTTGTAAGTAACAAGCAAAGATTGCAAAGTTTGTGTTTGACACATAAAATCTGCAAATTTAGCTTCGATAGACTCACAATGAGCGATTTTCTGATCGCCTCTTCACGAAGAGAAAGAGCGAAAAGTGGGTGGGATAAATGACAAAATCGCTTATTGCGACTCTCATGTAGCAAAATTAAAAGGTGACAATGGTGGTGGTGGTTTTGCACCACCGGGGTTAATCTCAATCGGATGACAGTTCAGTGATACCGTTTGCGTGGACTTACTCGATTCTTTCTTGGGTAGATTTTCTCGATAATTTTTCAGACTGCAGTGGGATGTAAACCATACTTTTGCAATGTCGGCGAGCAGCATCCTTTCACCG